ATAATTCCACAGAATTCAAATGCACCTCCTTGCAGGTAAGGAACTACAGTGTGATAGCCAAACAGCACAAATCCATACATATCCTCTTGAGCTCAGTGGGACTGAGTCCAAGTTAAGCGCATAAAGGATTATAGTCTAAATCTTGCAGAGACTGAACAGAGGAATGCAACTTCTATTTGGAAATCTTTGCAAAATATATACTTTTATGATAGTATTGCTCATAGCTATTACTGCAATGCTCACTGAGATATAATTTGAGTCCTTTTCATTTGATATAACTACTTGCATTCCCATGTAGTTCTGTACTCAGAGAATAAAGGAATATACTTTCAAGCATAGTAATCCATAAAGCATTCTTCTTTTCAAGGTTATATCCTTGTACTGTATAAACTGTTCTTCTATGTACTGCAGCACTGAAATGAAACATACAGCATTTGAACTATTTCATTTCACTCAACTATGACTTCATCTATATTTTAGCAGAAACATTTGTTTTCTTACAGACCAGTCCTATACATCTCCTGTCAGAAGCAATCCCTGTTGATTTCAGTGGAGCTTCCTTTTGTATATGGCTGGAATGGCCCTCATGTTCTTGGTATTTATTAACTACTTTTTAAGTTTCATCCAAGCCTGGAACTTAAGGTAGCACACAAAGGTTAAAACTGACAGAGTTTAAAAAATCCACCCTGAGAGATAAACAGGGTATCCACTGAAGAAATAAATAAACATAAACAAACTAACAATAGAATTAAAAGCAATTAAGAGAATGACCATTAAAGGAAACAACAAGTAAATAGTACCTTTAAAAGGCCTGCTGAAACAAATTAGTCTTCACCTGACTATTGAAGAATAGAAAGGAGGGCAACCACCCACTATCTGTGGCCCCTTCTACACAGCTGTATAAAATCTACATTGAACTGGATTATATGGTAGTGTGGGCTCAGATAATCCAGTTCAAAGCAAACATTGTGGATTATCTGCTTTGATATTCTGTGTCACATGACTCTGTGGAAGGGTCCTATGAAAGGAGTCCCAGAGTCTGGGGGCAACCACCAATAAGTCCGTCTTCCCCTGTTCCTTCGAAATGTAACCCTGAAAGTAGTGAGACAGAGAGAAACGTCTCCCTGAAGACTTCAAAACACAATCAGGCTCATATGGGGAAATATAATTTTTATGATAGCCTGGACCTGATGCCAAGAGCTTTTTAGGTCATCACTGAGTGCCCTCCAACACAGCCATATAATCCAGAATACCAAGGCAGATAATCCACAATATCTGCTTTGAACTGGGTTATCTGAGTCCACACTACATTATAATCCAGTTCAATGTAGATTTTATACAACTGTGTGGAAGGGCCCTGATACTCTGAATTCAGTGGATCTGTTGCAACAGGTAAGAACTTTTCAGCAATGGAATATGCTACAATGGAATATCTCTGAAGGTTTTTAAGCAGAGGCTGGATGTCCAGCAATCTGGGGTATTTTGATTGTATTTTTCTGCATGGCAGGGAGGTTGAACTTGGATAGGCCTTGTGGTCTTTTCCAACTGTATGATTTTATGGGAGCCAGTCCCAGTTAACGATCTAAATGAAGTTTTTAGGACCACTTGAAAATTCCAAAAAAAATTCGAAGGCAGCCCCACACTAAATGCATTATACAGTATTATATAGTAGTCCAAATGAGATGGAACTAATGGATGCAGTATGTCACTATGGCCATTTCTATGACTAAGGCCAGTTTGCACCCGAGCCTTAACAATCCAAACATATTCCTGTCTCATGCAGAAAACTATTCTTCCATGCTCAGGGTAGAATCCAGAAGTAAATCCAAGCTGCAAACCTGTGTTTAGAAGGGAATGCAACATCTTCCATCACAGGATGAGTTCCTATTTCCTAATCTGCCTTTTAACTGACTGGGGATATCTCAGTCTTGTCAGGGTTAAGTTTCAATTTATTTGTCTTCATCCAGACTGTTACTGATGACAGGTACCTGTATATATTTCTCCATATATCCTTGGATTGAAAAAGAAAGAAGCAAAAGAGCTAGGTGTCGTCCCCATAGTAATGCCACTGGACTCTGGACTATCTCTACAGTACTACTATTTTCATATATATGTTAAATAGAATGGTAGGCAAAAACCAAATCCTACAGTCCAACATCTATGGGTTAAACTGGAGTCCTCTAGCACCACCTTTTGGCTTCAAACCTCCAGCAAGGAAAGGAGCTATGACAGAAAGTGCATCCACATCTGATCTCATCTGTGAGATCCAGAATGAAGCCATGACTGATGGCACTGAAAACTGCTGAGAGGCCTAAAAGAAGAAGCAATGACACACTCCCCATATCCAGTTGTCCAATAGCATGACCAACGTGCTTTCTCTTCTATGGCCAGGCCTGAAATCAGTTTGAAACGGATCTAAAATCTAAATACTAATCTGCTTCACCAAGCTGCAGTACTTTACCAAAAAAATAATAAAATAAAATGGAACACTGGAAGCCAACAGGTAGCTGTCCAATATCTCTGGTGGACTAAGTCCCATTATATACAATGGTGCAGTGAAATGGTGTTCCATATCTATAATTGCAAAATCAAAGTTTGCTTTTTGGAACTTCAACAAAATAATATTGTCAAGCTGTGTATGATTTGATCAATAGAAACAGAATCTGTGGATACACAGGGCTGACTGGACAGAGATCTGTTTATGTATTTCACCCTTTTTCATGAACATCCTTCTGAACAGAAAAAAAAATGTTTTGGACTGGCAACTTAGTCATTACAGTGGCTTTGAGGGACCTCAAGGAGCTAGGCCAGAATTATACCATAAGCAGGGGGAAACTACTTTTTCTCCTGTAGTTGCCTTATAACACTTCACAGATAACACTTTGTAACAAAATCTGGAAAAAGTATGTTACTGGTTCAAAAGTGTTATTTACTCTTTAATTGTACAGTACTTACTTTGAAAGTAGTTGTCATGCTCCAGAAACATTGTTTCTGTGGCTGTTGCAAACTATGCTGAATTGGTTGTGGTTCGATGAGATATTCATTGAAAAACTATAGCAAATTGTGCTGCAGGATGTTCCACAAAAACAATTTTTTTGCAGTTTAATAAACTTTCCCCATGTATTTATGACAGAAGCAATTAGGAAATGACATTTATAACTCAGGAACAAAAATCATGTTAGTGTAATGGATGAATTTATGTTGCCTTCTAACATTTAATGGATAAAGCGTGACTACAGCTTTATCAGATGAGGGAGGGAAAGATGGGGCTTGCGACTGTTAGGAATTGTGAGAGCTGAAGCTAGAATTCATGCAGTTTGACACCACTTTGACTGTCACGACTCAATGTTGTGCAATCATGGAAGCTGTAGTTTTACAAGATCTTCTGCCTTCTCTGACCAAGAATGCCAGTCTACGCCAAACTACAACTCCCAGGCTTCCATAGCACTGAGCCAGAGAAGTTAAAAGTGGTGTCATTCATTCTAAAGTATAGATCCACCCCAAGACTGGGATGCAAGTGGCCAAGCAATATCAGATTAAACTCATGCCAGAAACATTAAAAATTAAAGAGGTATTTTTAATTACAAAAATATGAGTCAAGCACTGAAAGGGTTAAATGGATGCAATGACTCAGCAAAAGCTGCAGTTCAATATAAGCAGGTGTAGCTGAAGCTTAGTAGCGCTCAGTCTGTGAGAAGTATCTCTGGGAGAAGGGCCTCAGTGTGTTAGTAGGCCTCAGTGGTAGTCCGCCTCAGTATGTGAGAGATGTCAGTCTGAGAGAGCCCTCAGTGGGAGAAAGGCCTGGCGTGAGAAGCTTTAATGAAAGAAGCTCCAGGTTGAAGGTCATTGCACGAGGAAGCTCCAGTGTGAAGACTGCTGTGTGTAAAAAGCTCCTGTGTACTTTGGTGTGAGAGGAGGCTTTGTGAGAGTGAAGCCATTTATCTGCAAAAGAAAGAAGCCCAGCTTGGAAGCAAAGAAAAAAATATTATTAAAATATAAAAAATATTTGTGTTATGGAAACCTTGTTCTTGCAAATTGGGTAACCATATTATTTTACTACAAAGAAAAGCCTCCTATGGAAGACATAACTTTTTGTTCTTTTTATCACTTGTGGCTACTGGTGCTGGGTCACGTTGCTGCTAATAAGTTACTCAGCTATACATCGATGGGGAAAGTCTTTTGTTATTAAACTCACTCGCCCAATAGATCAACCTGGCAAAAGTTAATGTTAATGAGGATAACCAAGCAGACAAAAAAAAAAAAAAATGAGGCTGCAGCAGAGACCTCAGACTTCTGCCTGAGTCTAAAGACAAGAATATTTCTTCCTATCTTTTCCTTTCCTCTTCTTGAGCTGAGTGAGTACAAACTACTTCTATACTTTGAATTCAGTTTAGAGCAATTGAAATAAGCTGATGATAGAGGGGGGAAACGGGAGGAGAGAGAAACTGGGACATTTTTAAAAGCAGCCAAAAAAGGGCCACAAGGGATTAGTGGTGTTTGTCCCTGCCTGGACAGTGGGAAGGCCTGTCTTTTTCATCCATCTCCCTCTTGGGTTCAACACATAAAGGAACAAGAGCTGCGATCCTCCTGCTGCCTCCTCTGCTTCTGAAATGAGTGCAGAGTCCCCCCTCCCCACTGCTGAGGAAGCCACGCCCACCCAATGCCTCCCTAAACAGGCCCGCCTTCCTCCATCACGACCCATAGAGATAAGAAAAGAATATATCGCTGTTTGAATGTGAGACTTCCGGGTTTCTTTAGATCCACTTTCCCCTCCTTTCTGTGATTGGACTGAAACCTTTAGAATGAGAAACAAACAAACAAAAAATAGAAACTACGGTCTTTCTAAGCCCTAAATGCAGTTTGAAACAGCATTATATGGTCACTGTGGACTCATCTTTTACCAGCAACGAGCTCTTTACCTGAGTCATGAGCTTGCGTGACTCTATAACATTCATTTCTCTTTGACGAACGGTGGGGTGGGGGGAGCGGTCTATCCGCTTACCGGAAGTGACGCAATGCGCTGTCAAAGCTCCCAGTCCGTCAGCAGCGAGTCAGAAGGGCCGGAGAGTAAACAAGCTTTGCGTCGCCATCTCCGTCTTTAAAGGTCTCGGCCAAGAGCAAGATGGGGGCTGTGCTGGGCCTCTGCTCCATGGCGAGCTGGGTAATGTGCCGAACCTTTCCTTTTCGCCTTTCTTTCTTTCTTCGCGAACCCATTACGGAAAGGGGAAAGGGGGAGGTGGCTGCGCCGAAGGGCCAGAACTACCAGAATCAGAGGCTTCTCCCCAGGCGCATGCGCAGTGAGGGACTCCAAGGCTTTTCTCTCTCCCCCCCCCCCCGTCTTTTCTAAGGCAGCCTTTTCTTGGCACCGCCTACAATCTTTTCCCTTTGTTCTAAGAAAGCAGAATAGCTCTCTGGTGTAATTTTAAAAGCATGGGGATCAGCAGCATATGTGGAAATATTAAGGATAATAATAAGTATCTTGTACACTTTATTTCTCAGTTTTGTAACGTTTCAATGGTACATGAAGGTGAATTGTTAGATTTTTAAATGCTCGACTTTCCACCTCCAGCAACCCCTTGATACAACATCTTGGCAAAGAGGCCAGAAATTCCTTTGGGAAAGAAGAGGCGTTGTATAAATGCCCTTCTGTTTTAAATCATAATTGTTTGTCTTTTAACTCACATATGCTTTTCAATACATATTTTTTCTGCTGCTGCTAAAGGTTAGTGAAGCAGCAGCAGCAGCAGATTTGGTGGCAATATAGGAAGGGCGTTGTAGAAAAAAAGGAGGGGAGCATGTTGCCAATTCTTTTACAATGGCAAAGAAATGTCTCAGATGTCTGTCTGCACCAGTTATCTAGAGAGGAATATCCAGCATCTTCAAGACATGCTGAGGGTTCTTACCCAATCAGCCCTTAAATTAAGATATGAGTAAAATACATCTAGCAGTTCTTCTTTTCTCTCTCACCTTGATAACACAATGCTAAGGGTGTGTCTACATTGTAGAGTTAATGCAGTTTGACACCACTTTAACTGCCACAGCTCGCTACAATCATGGGAGTTGCAGTTTAGTGAGACACCAGCAGTCTTTGGCAAAGAAGATTAAAGACTGTAAAATTACAACTCCTATGATTCTATAGCAGGCATGGGCAATTTTGGCCCTCCAGGTGTTTTGGACTTCAACAATTCCTAACAGCCGTTTACTGGCTGGGATTTCTGGGAGTTGAAGACCAAAGCACCTGGAGGGCCGAAGTTTGCCCATGCCTGCTCTAGATCCAAAGGGAGAAATGGTCCTCCAGACAGTGTGCACCAATGCATATGTTGGGCTTTATAGGCCATGACCTGTACTTTGAATTGTGCTCAGAATGACAAAATAGGACTGAAGTTTGTCCATACATATTCTATAGCCTTGAGCCATGGCAGTTAAAGTGGTGCCAAACTGCATACTTAGTCAGCGAATAACTTGGATGGGAAAGGAAGACATGGATTCATTTAAAATGACTCACTATTCATCGAGCTGTGGCTAGTCATTTCTTAATGATTGTCAACCATCTATTGATAGCAGTCAGCTAAGCTTGGTAACTAAAGGAATCTCAACCAATAACATTAAGAGAGTCTCTGTAGTGCAGGAGCTACCAGAGTTTGAAGGCATCTCAAGAAATAATCTTTTTGAATTTTTAGTCCCATGACACTATTGATATGTAGATAGGAGCTCATCATTTTTTAATAATGTATGCTAGGTGCAGAAATAATTATGAAGGACAAATTCATTGTGGTTCTGACAAGCCCCACATTAAAAGAATGTCATCTATGAGAGAGAGACAGAACAATACATAATGTATCTGGGCATTGGGAAGTATCATACAAAATTGGCAAACTTATTGACTGGACTGAAATAGATCTGAAAGGAATTTTGTTCTCTGGGGTGCATCTCTTTTGTAGTAGATGTGGGATAGGAAAATAATGCTGTCATACTAGGAAAAGTAGAACCCAGTAGAACATTTTTAAAGGTTTTTCTGGCTTTAATGTTGCAGTATTCTTTGGATTTTTAACTGCATAATAAAGAATTGATTGAATTTTGTGGTGAAATCTGGAAAGCTAATCAGGTAGGAGTTTAACCTGGGGCTGAAGAATACAAAATGTACTTTCCAAATGTCCATGTATCCATTCCAAACCATATTGAGTAATAGAGTTAAGGAAGGAAAAGTTCATGGGAATTTGTTTTCTTTAGGATTGCAGTCAATTATATCATGTCAAATTGGGTTTACCATCAACTAAGTATGTAAGGTTTAAATGCAACTTGGGGAATTGAGGATTTATTTTTCACAGCAGAATATATCTGCGCAAAACTGAAAGTTGGAAAATGCTGGTGTTTTAGCTTTTAGTTGACTGGCACTGTGCATCATGCAGGCTACTGCTTTCAAAAGGGATGATTAGGAGCTTTTAAAATTATTGGCTTTCTTTACTTAAGGACAATCACAATCACTTGAGTAATGGAAATGTGATATTGTTTCTGCTGTATCAGAGTATTTATTCCTTGTATTTGGCTTGTTAGAATAATGACTCAGGAACACTGTTCATATTTGTCTATGTTTTCATGTAGAAACTTTGTACCTCAAATAATGGCCAAAATGGATGACATAGGATAAGACTTGCTACTGAAAAATACCTTTGTTATGAGGTTATTCTGAAATACTGCAGAAACCAGTCCTGATTCCTAATTTTTTTCTTGTTCTTTTTCCACTATTTTTTTCATAGATTCCATGTTTATGTGGCAGTGCCCCATGTTTACTGTGCCGATGCTGCCCCAGTGGAAATAACTCCACTGTAACAAGGCTGATATATGCACTGTTTTTGCTTCTTGGAGTCGCTGTGGCATGCGTGATGCTGATACCAGGAATGGAAGAACAGCTGATGAAGGTCAGTTTACTTCTGAGGCAACAAGATTGATTTTGTTGACATAAATGCTGTTGCCTGGAATTTACTTAGACTCCCTTATGTGCTCCAGAGAATCACTTGCTGTAGAACTTCATATCTGCCATTTCTGTTTAGGAAATTTCTGGAATACTTTTTGTCTATATATCAGGAGTGAGTGACTACCCAGTGTCTGTGGGCTGCACAACAAGCATCTAAAGCAGTGGTTCTCAACCTGTGAGTCCCTTGGTGTTTTGGCCTATAACTTCCAGAATCCCAGCCAGTTTACCAGCTGTTAGGATTTCTGGAACTTGAAGGCCAAAAGATCTGGAGACCCACAGGTTGCGAACCACTGATCTAAAGGTCGCTTCATCCCTCACACTTTGTCTTCTAGGGAACACTCTGGCAATTTGATCTTGTCCCCTTCTCACTGTTGAGGCTGTTTTAGGCCAGGAAAAACCCCTTTCCAAATCTGAAAGTGAAGTGGAAGTCACATTTGCTTTTGAAAAGGTGCCACAGGCCTGAACTAGCCTGGTCAGAGCCAAACATGGAAAATTGATTCCCACATCATCAAGGGGATGTGAGGGAAATTTTAAGAGAATGGGATTCCTTGAGGGGAACTTTGGGGTTTGAGTGGGGTATCCCTAGGAGCCACAAAAACAGCCTTTGGGAGATATTTTACTTACTGGCATTGTGAATATAGGTTGCCACCTAATTTTCAACCTTTTCTTTTTTATGAGTCTTTCGTTATAGTATTCTAATAATTAGCATGGGGAAAAATCAAGTAGGGTTATCTGCACAAATACCAAGTGATGAACAGACAGTGAAATGATACTGTTGTAACCATAAGAATTTGAAGGTTAGGGGTTTTCATTTATTCATGTTAATATGATTAGTGCTATTTCTTACAGATTCCTGGATTTTGTGATCATTCTGTGCACTGTGATGTTCTAGTGGGGTACAAAGCTGTGTATCGGGTCTGCTTTGGTTTGGCCATGTTTTTCCTCCTGTTCTCCTTATTGATGATCAAGGTGAAGAGTAGCAGTGATCCAAGAGCATCAGTGCACAATGGGTAAGAAGACGATAATTAATTTTATAATGTGTTGCTGGACGCTCTTACCTTTATGAGTAGCTCTGTTGAAAAGAAAATCCTTGATGTTCAGAACCACCATTCATGTGAAAAGCAAAAGATATTTCTGTATAAAACTGTATAAAATTTTTGCCAAGTATAAAAGCTCTTTGTATGCTAGTTTAATAATTGTGACTACTAAGTCCTGAATGAAATTATTTGAAACTGCTTCTGGAAGATATTAATGGTTTTGGTCCGTCAGAACTAGAAAGCATTTTAGAATGCCAGCTGATGTGCAAACTTTTTTGAGGGCTAGGACAACATCATTGGATCTGAGATAAACATATTTTCCTTAAAACAGAATCTCTTAGAAATTCTTAAGCAAACATGATTGGAGTTTCGAAACATACAAAATGTATTTATTCACAGTGATATACTTCAGTTCTAAATATGCTGTTAAACATGTTAGGAACATAAGTTTTTCTGTAGCTAGGAGTAAAACTTCAGTGCAAAAAATAGATCTTTTCATGGCTGCTCTCAGAATCTTCTGTAGAGCATGCTAGTAAGAGAGAATTCTGAAAATCGTTGTCCCAACAGATTTTTCCAAATTGTGAGTATCATGATATAGATATGGAATGCTGGCCTAGTAGTTATTTTAATCTGAAACTGTGTGTGAATTTTTATAGGTCAGAATGCCAGCCAGGTCAGACTAAACTGATGAGGTTTGCAATTGCTTTCTGCCTGTTGTGCACTTTCTCTCTCTCTCATGGCACCTTCAATCTTTTAAGTATATTAGTTTGCTTCATGCCTTGTTTTGAAATATTTTTTTTGTTCTACAATTTGTAGGGTAATAATATGGTTTTAAAATTTAAATTCCCTGTGAAGTGTCTTTTTTTCCCTTGAAGGCTATGTATATATATATATATATATACACCACACAATCAAATTACTGACCACCTTTTCTCTAGGAGGCTCTATAATCACTCTAACCATTCAGAAATTCTTTTATAATAAATTTCCATTTAGCAGTGGGAAAATGCAACTGAGGCTAATACCCAAGGCTGTCATTCTGTGGAATCCATAGCTTAGTTGAGATACTTAAGTCCAATATCTTTACAGTTTTGGATGTTAATACTAGAACCCAGATATTTGAATAGGAATACAATATAAAAAGGCAGGTATGATCTACATCTACCAATATCTGCTGAATGTTTTCAGAAATGTTGGGTTTTACCATTTCCTGCACAAGCTGTATAAATTGCATTGTTTAAATACGGTTGTTTTAAGTAATAAAAATGATTGTGAACTTTACAATATTGATTACTTGCAAATACACATTCAAAAATATTATTATAACCCTAACTTGGTGATTTCCCCTCCAGATTCTGGTTCTTTAAATTTGCTGCAGCAGTTGCTATTACAGTTGGTGCATTTTTCATTCCTGAAGGACCCTTTACAACAGGTAAAACTGCATCATAAGTTGTTTATTTAAAACAGAAAGTCTACAAAAGTTCTGAGTCTTCTTAGTGAAAGAAGTAGATAGACCTTTGGCTGAACCCCTTAATTTCTCCCTCTTAATCTAGCGTTATGTAACTGCATTTGCCAATGGTTGTCTTTTTTGCCTCTCCCACTCTTTTTTCTGTGTACCTTTCCATGGTTGGTTTTAAATCTGTGTGCCACAGATTTGCCTGCTTCTTCCAATTAAATGTTTTAAAACAAAAAGTATGCTTTGGCTCTTAATCAGTAATAAAAAATCTTAGCCCATGAAACCAATTTTTTTATACAAAGTTAATATGTTCTTGTTTATTTTTCTTCTCAGTTTGGTTTTATGTAGGCATGGCAGGCGGTTTCTGCTTCATTCTTATCCAGCTGGTTTTACTTATTGACTTTGCCCATTCCTGGAATGAGTCTTGGGTGGAAAAAATGGAGGAAGGCAACTCGAGATGCTGGTATGCAGGTATGCAATGTAATTTTTAATTTTTTTAAACAAACTTGAGATGTACGATACCTACATTTAAAATAAATTTCAAATACTGTTGCTACTGTTTGTGTCTAAGTTGTTTGCAGGAGTGAATAATCTGCCCTCTTGCATACCCTCACATCTTCCTTACATCCCCAATAAAAGATAATATAAGGCTCTTATTTCCAGAGCTCTCCCAGTACTAATCCTCCGATATTATGAATTCAGGTTGCTTCTGACTTGTTGGGTAGCTTCTGGCCCATGGACCTCATGTGGCACATTAAGCTTTCCTAACCCAGTCTGCAAAAGCTCTCTCTTAGGCTCCTAAACCTGCAGTACACAGAGGAAAGAGCTTGTATAAGTGCTGCTGCATATTGTGAGATGCAGGTTCCCCATTAGAGATGTAATTTTTTTAGAAATATTGAAGCCATTGGGGGATGGGGAGATTTTTTTTTTAAGTTGATAAAAATGTGATAATACACTCTTTTGAAGATTGAATTGCCCTTTGTTAGTTCAGGGACATAAGTTGTATACATAAAAAATACAATTATTTAATGTTGTTTGGAATAAAATTATCATGTCTGGTGTATAAGAAGTCAGGTTTATTCAGACAATAGTTACAAGTGGGATTCTTCTTTGGGAACATATATATATATATATATATATATATATATATATATATATATATATAACCACCTTCCTCTCGCAAAACCCAGGAAAACCATCATCATTAATAAGACAGAAAATGGCTTCATCTCCTTTAGTATTCCCTAATGTCAAGGAGATAAAAAGCATTCATCCTCATGAAAAGAACTGAAGAAAGAATACAAAAGCCCGGAACTGCAATGACTGGATATTATACATTGCTGTACATATTGCTATTCCAGTTTTAGGAATAATATTAAGTTTGATGAAGTAAATATGTTGTTTTAAACATTTTATTCTCCATCTTATCAAAAAATATTCCATGACTCAAGCTTTTTGATTTTAATTTCCCCTGTTTTCAAGAAAAAGGGCTTTAGAACAAGAAAGAAAAATGTCCCTGCATCTCAATTCCCCATCAAATATTCTCCATCCTGCTCTAATATGAAAGACTCTCGGTCTACAAATTGGGTGCTCATTGTGGGGTTGTCTGTCTGATGAATCTAGCTTTCATGCCTAACTATTTGGTACTGTGATGAATTAACTGTGGAGAAATGTTGCAGTTTTGCCTGTTCTCCTTGGACAACAGTAATGGAATTACCTTGCAGGAGTTTATAGATTGCATTCTACTCAGCCCTAGGATTTGGTTAATGGTGCACTTTAGTATAACTTGTTCAAATGTACCAATAAAGTTAAATTTCCCTCTTGCTTTCAGCTTTGCTGTCTGCCACAGCCCTGAACTATCTTCTGTCTCTGGTGGCAGTGGTCCTCTTTTATGTTTATTATACTCATCCAGAAGGCTGTTCTAATAACAAGGCATTCATCAGTGTCAATATGCTGCTGTGTATTGGAGCATCTATAATATCAATTTTGCCTAAGATCCAGGTATGAGGTTACATTTAGTAAAATGTTGTTGAAAACCTGATGAATGCTTTGTCCAGTTAATGCAATACTGTTTTGCCTGCTTTCTGTGCATAGGAATCACAGCCAAGATCTGGCTTGTTGCAGTCATCTGTGATTACAGTTTACACAATGTATCTAACTTGGGCAGCAATGACCAATGAACCAGGTAAGAGGCATTCATTTATAAGCCAAATCCTCTGAGCTAAATTTCACTATAGGGGAGAGATAACTGCTGAAATAAGCTTAGCCTGTTGATATATTACTAAGCTTTCAGATGGCCCCTTGTGAAGAATATTCACGTTATATCAGTGGATGTAAAATCAACAGATCTTCGGCTTCTTTGGAACAGAAGAATCATAGATATACCTAGGACCTAAAGCAGGCATGGGCAAACTTTGCCCCTCTGGGTGTTTTGGACTTTAGCTCCTAGAAACCCCAGCCAGCTTACTGGCTGTTAGGAATTGAGGGAGTTGAAGTCCAAAACACCTGGAGGGCTGAAGTTTGCCCATGCCTGATCAAAACCAACAAAAAGCAAAAACTTTACCTTCTATTCCCAGAGTTCTAAACCAGAAACCAGTAAATACTAACAATGAACTGAGCAGCCTGAGCAGTGCTAGATCTGTTGTGAGGATATCCAAACTGAGAACATGCAAACTTATGAGACAAGTTTATTTACAAAACAGTAGTACATTAAAAATACTGAAAAGGAATAATAATAATAAAGAAAATATATATATATATATATATATATATATATATATATATATATATATATATAAAGCTGTACATAGTAAACTCCTTGAAGCATGGTGTGTGTGTTGGTGCAAAAAAAAAAAAGACATGAAAGCCACCTGCAGGCCACACATCACCCGCTCCTGTGTTACGTGTTGCTTCTCGACTCCCCACCCAAACTTTGATGGTTAAATGTTGTGTGCCCAAAATTTCATATTTTTCCTGTTTGTAAGGTCCAAAGCTGAGATTTGCCTTTCATTAGAAACACATGTCTGGAGTAGGTTGAGGCCTTCTGACTTCCACTTCTGTCTTTACCAATCTAGACCGAGAGTGCAATCCAAGCTTGCTCAACATAATTGGCTATAATTCCACAAGCACTCCAAGTAAGACCGGATTTGTCCACTGGTGGGATGCTCAAGGAATTGTAGGGCTGATCCTGTTTTTACTCTGTGTTCTGTACTCGAGGTGAGTAGAACTTCTGGAAATGCTTTTACATTTATCAATGTTTGAAAAATATCCAAATCGTGCATCCAATGACACTTGTTTCTTTTTCTGATGGCAGCATCCGGACATCCAATAACAGTCAAGTAAATAAACTGACCCTGACCAGTGATGAGTCAACCTTGATCGAAGATGGACTTCCGAGGAGTGAAGGCTCTCTTGATGATGGGGATGATTACAATCGTGCTGTTGACAACGAGAGAGATGGAGTTACCTACAGTTACTCATTCTTCCACTTTATGCTTTTCCTTGCTTCACTTTATATCATGATGACTCTCACCAACTGGTACAGGTATGAGATTTGTAGATTGGTTTTGGTAGTGCTGATCTCAGCAAAGGTTGGGTATGGGGTGGAGAAGCAAGTCAAGGACTGAAGATAGGACCTCTACAAAGAAATGGGGCCCTGCCCCTTTCCTCACCAAAATTTTAACCATAAGGATTCAGTTGCATATACCAGGGCTCCTCAAACTTTTGAATTGGAGGGCCAGTTCATGGTCCTTCAGGCTGTTTTGGGGGTGGGGGGAGACTATAGTTGCATGTGTACGATCACCGCACACATGCAACTATGGTCCTCTTCCCCCTCCCCCCATCTGTACATGCATGTAGGAAGGAAGGAGGCTCCCTCCTCTCTAGTTACTTCTCCTTGCTTGATCCCCCCAGCCCTCTTGTTACTTCAAAGCCCCCCACCCTGCCGCCTTTCTGTTCCTGCACATCACACCCCAAGCGCTGGAGCAGGAAGTTTTCCTCTTCAGGCATAGGGTGCAGGGGCTGGACCAGCCAGCTCTCCAACACATAGGCAGTGACTAACTTTCCTTTCCCTGTTTCCTAAATGCACTTACACGTGCAACTATAGTCCAGTCCTCCAACAGTCTATGAGTAAATGCGTGGTGGTAGCAGCAGCAGGGGCTGAAAAAAATGACTTTGGTGGGCTGGATCCAGCCATAGTTTGAGTTTCCTTGGCATAGACTAAACCATGGAAGTATAAACTGAAAGTGTTATCTGAAAATTAGGCGGAGACAACTTCTGTAAGCCTTTCCCTTTTTTAAGAGGAAAAAAAATAAGTAATTATTTTTGGATAAAGGTTCTGTAAATGATGCAGTAAACTCATCTTGTTTCCTTTCCTCATCTTTCATAGCCCTGACCCTACTTCTGCATCAATGACCAGTACATGGCCATCCGTCTGGGTGAAGATTTCTTCCAGCTGGATTGGGATTGTTCTCTATGTGTGGACTCTGGTGGCTCCACTTGTTCTTACAAACCGCGAATTTGACTAAGCCAGGCATCATATCTATAAGCTTTGCTTACCTTTTGTTGCTTATTGAAGCTGACAGTATTTCGCACTAGGATGTAACTGTACATACATGTGTGTAGTATCAGTGTGCATTAGTCTGTCTTAATTCTGCATGTTTGCTTTTAAATCATACCATATTGCCATTTCGATTATTCTTTTCTAGGTGAGCTTGATGACGTGTACTAGTTACAGGGCCAAAACACATGGTAGTAATGCTTTTGTGAGTTACATGCAACATAATGCTTGTAGAAAACATAGATGAGGTGGTGGTGTTCTGTTGGTGATTTAATGTTGCACTAGCCTAGCAGTGGTGCCAATGATAGTAAACTACCTAGACAAATGACACCTAATCAACTTGTGAAGGCGTATGATGAAAGCATTTCTGTGATAGATCAATATTGTATTTGACACTTTTGCAAGACTGAAAATGCTGTTTCTACAAGTGATAGCTTTGCTGTAGCAGAATAACAGCTTTGGATATCATCTGTGGCACATTTAAAACAGTATCCCCTGCTGCTACTTTCCACTTTGACACAAATGCTAGAAGTTCCTACCCATTTTGATGTCTGCTATTGTATACTAAGGCTGAGTCAGAATGAGATGTTTCTTTTCATTAAACTATTCACACAAAGGGCTTCCCTCACTTAAGTCAGTAATCTTTCAGAGAAGCAGTTGAAAATTAATGTTTTCTCTCCTTTTTGGTAGTATCTACAGAGCCACCTGCCATGTGTTGGTGGGAAATGTTATACTTTAATACAAAGTTCCCACAGATGACCCAGCTACTGGAGACTCCTGCATCTTGGCATGTGTCCTCAAAAGTATTTTAATGATTGTAAATTGGGAAAATATTTCATGTTATAATCTGATGGGGTGGAGGTACAAACAGTGTTCGAAATAAGCTAGGGTTGTCTCTATCAGCCTTTGAACTTGATTGCAGAAGTTAATTTTAGTAATAATTTTTACATTATAATGTTCTTGTTGGTATAATATTAGCCTTGTTCTAAGATGGAATACTAAAATTTATTACTTTTGCATTCATGATGTGTGCCATAGAAAAGAGGGAATTGAGGCTATGGAAGAAAGGAACTTCTGAGGTTATTGCATTGTGAATGATTGTTTGGAAACCTCTGATGCAGAATATGAATTGATTACCTCGGTTAAGATTAACTGGCCTATGGGAGTTGGGAACTTGGCTAAATAAGTAGTGCAGAAGCAAAGGAGTCTCAGATTTGTCAATAAGCTCATGAGCCATAGTTGAACAAGTTTCAGAGAATACAATAATGGAGGAAGGGGCAGGGCTAATAGAGAGGGAAATAATGTATTTGTGCTTCAGTGGTTATAGCCATGAAACTGAAATAATTGAATGAAATAATCAATGAAATAATATTTTAGTTGACTGATGGAGTTGGTTGTGCAACTGCTTTGAGCATCCAAGAAAACAACAGCCTCTTGCATCCTGCAGAACAACTGTGGCTGAGGTGGGTGGGTGGTGGGACTTGTAAGTTTGTATTTACAGCACAAATTCCTCATCACACTTGCCCCCTCAAAGAGCCTGACTCCAAATTCAGGCATTCAGAAAACAACTGGTTATAGGCAGCAAAGCCAACTGCTGACAGTGGCTTTTCTTCCTCCTACTTTTCATTTTGGGCTATAGAGGGTATCCCTTCAACATCAAGGTGTTACTCTAGTTATGGTTTGAGTTGCTGAATTCTAGTGTCAGACTGCTCTTGTTTTATTTATTTCAGATGGAGAGGTGTAAAGAGATTTGGTTGGATGCACTCTGCCTGTTGAAGGATCGAATTTCTGTTCTAAGCTTGGGGTCTTTACTAAAAAGAAAAGGAACATTTCTTTTTAAGGTTACATTTGGAATTGTGAGAAACTTGCATGGATGTGCACCATGAATATTAGTTGTCATTTTGCCTGGTTTTACTTTTACGTGCAGTGTACAATTAGTGCAATCTAATAGTGCATGTTCTTAGATGCTTTGTTTTTGTATTCCTTTGATACTATGAGTTTTATTTTTTTAACTTAATCAGTCCTTGAAAATATTTAGCATTAGTAATAATTGCAAGAACTTGAAAGATGAAGTTGGCTTGAGAAGCCAGTGGTTTTAAGCAGAAGGGCAGCAAATTATGCTTTCATGCACCCTTGTGGCTCAGATATACTATTTGGGGATTGCTGAGCTTTGTTTGAAAGTCAAAGATAGCTATGCCTTTCTTTTCACTTAAACCATTCTGGATACATTGCCAAGTATTGTTTTTAGTTGAGCAGCTGTATTCTACAGCTGACCATTACAAGGTTGTAACTGATACTTTTGTCTGATGCCATTTTATTTTCAGTGTAATCTAGTACTGCTGCTAGTCCTTTTTGTGTCCATTGCCAGCAGTCGATTTTACTCAGAAAATCCATTGTCTACAATACCTGGAAACCTCTAGGTCTGTTTTGTAGCTTAGTGTATTTTGTAAAATTGTGTTTACTGCTTTAACTGGAAATATAATTATAGCTTGCTCCAACTGAAAATTGTCAAAAGTGGGATAAAACAGATGTTTTAACTTCAGCATTCTTTACCCTGGTGTGCATTTTATGAGTATTAATACTTCCATGTCTATTCAAAATCATTGTAATATATACTAAAAGGCTAGGATCATTATGAATGAAATGTGGAAATAATTTTAATATTTAGTCATATAAGATTGTGTATGCTGTATACTGTCAATAAACATTCACACAACATGGCTCTTTAATCTTAATGTGTCTGCTGCACCAGTAAGTTTCATGTCATTGGCCTGTACTGGAGAAGCAATTCTGATATTTAGCTCAATATTACAATATTACAAAACAGTTAAATGTGAAAGAATACAACCATTTGGAAATAATGAAGATCACCAAAGGAGACTGGAGCATATCTATATTTCACTTTTTCAAAATAAGTTATCAGAAGCTATTTAAGCAATACAAATTCACACCTCAACCAACTTCTGACACATTTTGTTCAACTACAATAGCAGTGATGTAGTACAACTTTATTTTATTTTATGCTGGGTAACAAAATGCACACAGCATGCAAAAACAGACAACAGGTGTAATTAATTTCTGCTAATGTTGTTTCTGGTGAACTGAAATGGCATTTAGGCATTCCTTACTACTGCATCCCACTAAATTTACATCATGGTGTGGAGGAATCACAACTTGTATTAGCAGGAACCTCTGATGAATCCACTCTCTTCTGCAAATGGGAGAAATTCTGTTTATGGAAGAAGTACTTTAGCTCAATCCCTAAAATTTGATTCTTTGTTGCTGCCAGACATGGACATGAGATGCAAGACAGAGTGGCTCAAAGAGTTGCCAGAGAGAAGTTCATCTTTTGACATACTTTAGAAAAATAAAGTCACTCATCCATTCCAGTAGAGCGAATACTTACATGAGCTTTTTCTAGGTTCATTCTGAGCACAGTAAAGGTCTAAACACAGTTAAATTTCCCTTACAAGGGTTATAACACATTCAACTGTAATCAGAGTCATTAAGATTTACACATAGTGAAAGTATTTCAATTGAACTGGTATAACGGTAATCCTTTCCATGGAAATCCAGACAATCTTGCACTGCAAGTCCCAGCAGCCCAAGGAAGCATAGCCAATGGTGAGGGATTGCAGAAGAAAAAATGACAATGCTAAAGTCACAGGTCTACATTTTCCACTAGATATTTTTTTCTCTTGCAGTTCAGAGGGACCTCAATGCAGACGGGCCACTCCCTTCTTGGTCACACGGGGAATATACGTATTATTGTGTGCTGGTACACTGCCTTTTCTGACTCTACACTCTCTTCTGACTGGTGTACCAATGTACACAAAAAATGCACCTTTTGAACTTGTTCTTTGCCAGAGTAGAGAGTTGTTGCATGGAACCTACTCAATTCATTATTTCATGGCCAACACACCTGAAGTTGCAGCTGTGAGCTACCAGGCTCCCGTTGCCAGAAAGCAGAAAATACAAATCAAACAGCGGTGTTGTATAAGCATCTCTATAGAATAGTGGTTCCCAACCTTTTTTTTTTTTAACAAGGGCCACTCTCCAACATTCATACTAAAAGTGTTACAAATCAGTGTTTTGTCAATTTTAGATTCGATTTAGGGTGTGGATTCAGAAAACGGCATTGGAGAGACCACTTCAGCTCTAGTTTCTGATACAGAACATATGCCATGGTCAGTGACAGGGAAGAAGTGGCAGATGGCCTGAAAGGAGCGGAAGTAAAATAAAGAGGAAAGAAGTTTGCGGAGCAGATTTTCGCCTTGTGGCCCACAAGTTAAGAACCATTGCTGTAGAAAGTCCAGCTCCATTAGGCTCTCTTGACTATTTCCATATGGTCATTATATGAACTATTAAGAATTGGTGCCCGAATACCTTTTTTCTTCTTCCCTTTTTGAAATATCTGTGCCTACTTTTTAGCCAAAAATGTCCTTGCCATGGACAAATGTTGAATCCTTCAGCAAATATGGGCTTCGGGATTTGGGGAACAAAAAATGACATTTCTTTTTCTATAACAAACAAAAGTAAGATTGAGCAGAATGGACTTGGAAGATGCCTGCCTCATCAAGTCCAATTTCCTGCTCAGTTTGGGATTTCCAGCTGAGGATGCTTTAGCGTAAGATCTCACATTCAGCAAGGCTTGGACTCTATAGTCTACGAGGCACCCTCCAACTCTGATTCTATTAAATCTTATAGCGAGAATCTTATTTTGATTTTTTAAATCCATAAGGAAATGTAACAGTTGAACTTAGATAAATTCAATAGCAGGTAAATAACACACCATGCATCCTGTTCTGGTCCCTTAACAGTTTTATTTAAACAAAGTTGTAAAAATAGAAAACAAAGTACAGAAGAATAAAACTTTGGAGTGCTATAACCTCCATCCAGAATTACTTTCATCAGTCATACATCAGGACCAAAGGTGAACAAGAAAAACCGTTAATGGTTAATACAGAGCATTTGATTACCTGCTATATTCTGAATACATATAATTCCAAACATTACAGCACTAGAATGTAATGAACTAGTGTGGATATAACGTTGATGGCCTGGATAAATGTTTCAATCGCTGATTTTGTGAGGAAAGTGACCAAACTGTTTTAGGTTCCACATTAGTAGTTCTCACAAAATGCAATTTACAAAAGATAAATCCGAAACAACACCCTAAATAAATAGTTTGTTTTAAATGTCATTAGTTATTTAACAATGGCATATCTGTGTCCATGGGCACTGGGGCAAGTTCACACAAATAAAATAATGTAGCTTCACTGGCTTCTGCTTCTGTCAACGGTTCCAGGCGAACAAGCTTGCTTTGGGTCGGCTGAGGATCAAGACTGCTTTCCAGCAGTTCATCTACTTCCAATGGTTTCTCTAAGGATGACACGGGTTCGGTTGCCACATTTGCACTTTCCACTGCTGAGCCTGGACTACCATCAAGGAGTGCAAGGAGGGGGAAAGCAGTGTACTGAATGAGCTGTTTATCTATGGATGAAGAAAGAAAACCAAAAGAGATCAATGCTCTTCCTTGCAAGGGCATTTGCCTATTCCTACAGAAATAAGACTGAGCAAAAATTATTTTGAAAATATGCTTTACAGTGTACAATTTGCTACTCGGAGATACATGAAATACAAGAGTATGTTTATTCATTTTATTCTGTCATCTTATTCATGTTTCACCAGAAATAACTTTTAAGTAGGCTGAATTATGCCCAAGTTAGCATTTTTACAACACCAGTAAAATGTGACCTGGATAATGCTACTGTTAGGTAGATTGGAAATTGGTTGACTGGCCAAATCCACCAATTACTCCTTCTCCTCTTAGAAAGAAGTGACAGGTGGGGGTGACACAAGGGTTTTGTCCTGGCCCCAGCGCTACTCAAGATCTCTATCCATGACTTGGATGGCAGGATAGAAAGTATGCTTATCAATTTTGCAGATGGCATCAAATTGGTAGGGATAGCTCCCAGGGGCAGGGTCAGAATCCAAAAACAACAGATTGCAGAGTTGGACCAAAACTAACAAAATGAATATCAACAGGGAGAAATGTATGGTACTACACTTTGGCATTAAAACTGAAATGCACAGATATAGGATGGGTGGCATTTAGCTTGAAAACAGTCATGTAAAAGGAATCTAGGAATCTTAGTAGACCACAAGCTGAACATGAGTCAACGGTATGATGCGGTAGCAAAAAAAGCCAATGCTATTCTAGGCTGCATCAACATGGGTATAGTGTAGTTAATATTAAAACAAAACATGGGTATAGTGTCTAGATCAAGGGAAGTCATAGTCCCACTGTATTCTGCTTTGGTCAGACTATCTGTCTGACCACAATTCAAGAAGGATTTTGACAAGATGGTGTCCAGAGAAAGGCAACTAAAATGATCAAAGGTGTAGAAAGAAAAGTCCTATGGAGAATGTCTGAGGGACCTGGGTATTTCTAGATTGGGGAAAAGGTGACTGAGAGGGGACAAGTTTGTTTTCGCTGCTCTAGAGACCAGGAAATAGAGAAATAGATTCTAATCGTAGGAAAAGAGATTGCATCTAAACATCAGGAAAAACTTCCTGATTGTAAGAGTGGCTTGAGTATATGATATGCTATCTCAGAGATTTTTAAGCATCAGCTGGATAGGCATCTCTTGGGACTGCTTTGTGTGCTCCTGCATGGCAGGGGCTTGACCCTTGGGGTCTCGTCCAACTCTATGATTTGCTTATATTCATGTACTAACCTGCTTTGAGCTTAGAATTAGGCACATCTTGTGTTGTCCGTTGAGCACCATTAGCCTTCATAGTTTCAATTCCCTTTGTTTCTACCTATGACGAGATTGCATGATTTATACAAATTTGACTTATTAAATTGGTAACATTAAAATATTGTGAAATGACTTTTAAAACAACATGGACTGTATGTCTAGAAGACACAGTGATTTTTCTAGAGGAACAGTGCCACTTTCTAAACACTAGAAGTTAGGATGAAGCAATGCTTGAACTCTAGATCATAATACTTCTATACTCACAACTCCCAATAAACAATTATTCTTGTCTGACTACCAGCATATACTTAATTTCCTGTGAAACATTTTTAAATTACGTAATTGTGCATTTAATATATGTAAAATGATGCATCTGAAGCATTATTATTAAATTATTCAGTTTTAGTCAGCTCGCAGCTTGAGTGCTTTTTTATTTGTCAACAGTGTACTTTTTGGTGTTAGAAACATTGATGTTAGTCTTTAACAAATTTCAGACAAGATGGGCTAGCACAGACATGTAAATGCAACTTATTTCTATGTTGCAGACAAATGCAAACAGTAAATTGCAAGATCATAAAAAATGAACATTTCATTTTTGCCAAGACAAAGACAAAAATTTAATATAGCAACATCCTATCTGTTAACTGAATAATTGGTCATAATATTTGCCATTGCTATGCTAAGTTAAAACTTACTTTTGTAGTATTGATATGACCAGTAGGACTCATCTGCACAGAACTTGAAAAAAGCTGAATGAGAAAAAAAATACATCGATTTAAAATTCTGTGTTCACAATATGGAGTCAGTGATTTTTAAACTGTAAATTGGAGTTTTCTATCTATAGTAAAAATTCTCTACAGAAACATTTGAGTACACATTTCTACTTTATTGGATGTTTCTGAACTTTAGGATTAAATCCAATATCATACTTGCTAATGCAGAAGGGCTTTCTCTTCTTGCTGCAGTCACTCTAAATGCCTCTGAGAGACTCCTTAACTTTCAGAGCAGATTTTAAGAACAACTGGGGAGGAGGGAGATAATTGTATACCTCCCAGTTCTGCTGTGGAAACTACTTCTATCAGCAAAGTGAAAGGACAAGTTATGTTATACCTGTAACTAGTTCTTTGAATGGTCATCTGTGAACTCTCACAAATGTGTTATTTGCACTTATGGAGTGCATCATTGAGAACCTTCAAGAACTATTACATAAGGTTTTCAGCAGTAGCCTCACCCACTCTTAGGCACCTCACCCTCTTACTTCCTGCCTAAACCTTGTTCTGTGGACACCAAAGCAGCAGTAGCCAAGTATCTAGGGAGAAGCAGAGCACAGTAAGAAGAGGAAGAGGGGATTGTGTGAGTTCACAGATGACCACTCAAAGAACTACCAACTACAGGTGTGCAACCTGTCCTTGTTCTCTGTGGTCTCTGACACACAAGTGTATGACTAGCAAGCTACTGACCCTAGTCAAAGGGTTAGGCAAACATAATCCATTTATGTGTGTCACACAAATAAAAAAAAATGTTGGACTGAGGTGGTAAAGTCTTATATACAGCAATTTCTCAGGGGGGAAAATGAAAGCATATAGTCTTCTTCCACAAAATCTTAATAAAATAGAAAACAGAAGCCAAAAATATATATACTGTGAATATTTACATCAACCAGAAGTTCTGGATCGATGCTGAACTGCCGTCCTGAGAGCATAGCCTGGAAATCCTCTAAACTGCAATCAATGCTCTCAAGGTAATCCAGGAGTTCCACCCTAAAGTAATGTAAAAACAATAAATGAAGTCTGTTTTTTTGGAGGAATTTAATGTACAACTGAATAAAATAAGGTACAAAACCTTGCATGCCATTTTAAACTTTTCAAATCACAAGAAAAACAATTCCTTGTGGAGCATGATAAAAAATGAACACAAGATTATTCTTTATCCTGATGCCCAAATTACTACTTCAAATCTTAAAGTGTTTTGAAGGATTTCTATAGATTCAGACAACTGCCTGTATATGAGGAGGAATATCAGAAGAGGAGTATCAGAAGGACAGTTACCAGAAAAAGTGGAATAATATATCACTACCTGATTATATAATTTAGAGGTGAACATGAATTAGTTCAAAGATATAGCTCCACCATTACAACCTTTAAGAAATATCCCCTTGATACATTTTACAGAATTAAGAAACTGGCCTCTAAGATTAATATAACAATCACAGCAATACATATGGGTTCAATAAAGGCATGGAAAGCTAAGCCTGGAGTACAGATCACTGAAAAATAAAGATGGACAGGATTTGGTGATCTTTCCCATATAAGTTGTTGTCTGTAATGGTAAAGAAGATCATTGGTATCTGCACCCCGTAAAAATCACACAGAAGCAGTAACAATTTGTTGTAATAATGTTTGTACACTGAAATATGTATGGGCTACCTTAAAATAATTGCATTTTAGTTCTTCATTGGATTAACAAAATAGCTTATCAAAACATATTTTCAAAATATGGATTTTATCAATTTATGATAAAGAAAATAAAATTTCCCCATGTAAATATGGAGATTGCAATGACTCTGAAGAATTTACGAAGTTTATCCATTAATCATTGGTTAGTCAAGGGTCTGGAGCCTTTCTATTGTTAGAAAAGTTGACACACAAATTCCACCTCAACTAGGTGAAAAAAAACTGAAGACATTTTTGAGATTGCAGATTTATAATAATATGACACATGTAAATTCAAGACATGGCCCACTGCTGAAACATGGTATTCTGAAAGGCATGATGAGTACTATTTGCATCTGGATGGTTTTTTTTAATAGTAATTGATTATTTGAAGAATTTATTTGAATCAGGGAATGTTTTCTGTTTTGGGAAGGATGGGGAGGGGATAATTTGCTATTATGCTATGTAAAATATTAATAAAAAGGTGTTTAAAAAGAAAAAGAGTTCTCTTCAGCTCTTACAATTCCAAGCTCCTCACAGAATGGTATAAAAGGCACCATGTAAACCCAAGGACAATCAATAAAACTATTTGAAATTTAATGGGTAACAGGCACAATATATTTCTAAACTTCTGAAAACGGTCAATCCCAGGTAATAGCCACACAACTGACATTACTGAAGATCTTCAAAACTGCTACTAAAATTCAGAGCTCAGGTGAATACTGAAGTCAGATCTCAATCTCATTCATCATACTCATTTCAGAAACTAGTATTATAGGAGATCAAGTGTAATTTAAAACACTCATGCCAGTGAAAGCCAAAATATTAAGGGAAAAAGTACAAAAATGTTTAAACATGGGTTCAAGAAATTGACTAACTTTCCAAGAAGATTGATATTCTGTGAAATCACTCCATTCTCGTTGAGTATAGAGTCCATCATTGAAACCGGGTCTTCTGCTGTTAAGACTGACTGGCTGTTTAACTGAACTGCACTGGACATTAATGGGCTTGTATCATCTGTGGAAGGACTGATACCCTCAGGTGATGGAATGGTGACTGGTTCAGCATTTGCATTTTCTTGAATAACAGGTACGTAGTCATCATCACAGTCATCTTCTACTATTACAATGTCAGGACTGTAGCTGCAATACAAATGTAAGGTTACAAGTAAAGATCAAGTCGTGATAACCTTTCTTCTGAAGCTCTGGTGAAGACAATAATCAGAAATTGTTTCCATTAAAATTCTTTCTGATTATTGCTGATACTAAGAACAGATATTTTCAATTAGCTATTTTTAAAGCTGATGGAAGATTTGAACCAAAATATTTTCATTTATTACATAATACACTAGAAAATAATTTATATCTTTGAAATAAACGTTTGACAAGTATCTGCCATGAGCAGACAATGAGACACAGCAGAGGAATGCATGTAGTAATCAAGCACATTTAATACCTAACCTAAAGAAGAATCTTACTTGGAATCTGAAGCAGTGTCTTCACTGGTTTCTGGAGTAACTGGAGCCTTTTCTTCATCACCAATATCATCATCAGTGATGTCATAAATAATAATATCTTCAGACATCTGTTCTCTCTGCTTTAAACCATCAGTCCTGTTGTGAGGTACCTGACCATTTACAAGCTGTAAAAGGAATAAAGTCATCAAGGGTTTTTTTTTTGAAATAGCTAGACTTCTCTTAGAAAAGATCAAAATTTCAAGATACCGAATTTAGCAAGTTCAAGTTAAACTGGATGAAAGTTGGAATTACAAATATTAAATATGATATTACAAACAGATTACAATTAGAGTGGAAATCTGGTTTTCAAATGAACACAAAGACATTCGTGCATATAACTTCACTATATAACAAATTAAAATGGGCTACACATAGCTGTAAGGTGTTGTATGGTATCCTAAGTGTGGGGGGAGTGAAATATGAGTTAGGTTTTCCTGTTATACAACAATTTGTCACAGTAACAAAATAAGGAGTGCTTCTGTAGTTCATTTCAGAACATAGGATGGAAACATTTTGTCAGAAGCATATATGTACAAACTGTCTGAAAATTATGACAGAAATTTCCATTTTGAATTGCACTGATTGGCTGGCACCCTGTTGCTGAGTCACAACCCTAACAGACTTATTCAATGGACTTGTTGAATGATGAATCAACACACAGATAAGTCGCACTGATAGAAAAGAGCTCCTCTAACTAGGAATAACAAGAAAATATAGACCACTGTCTCCTCGCCTACACCACAAATACCATTGTAACACTGTTGTTTCGCCATATCCTCATTTTAAGCGTCTTTATTTTTTCTTGTCTCTCTCTTTAACCCAGGATTCACATCCTTATCTATCCTATGAAAGTATCTTTCAGAATTAACTCACGTGGTGTTTGCTTTCTGTTGGTTCTTTGACTATCTGTTGGAATAGGTTTGACTTTGCAGTTCCATTGGTATTCAGAAGCAACGGACTAAATCGCAAAATAAATATAAACATAATGTAAATGTTTGAATCAACTTAAGAATAATATACCCCCACTACAGCAAACTGTATGATATTTTCAAAATTCTCAGCATATTTACCGTTTGCGTTTCAGACTCACAAGCTGGTTATTCTGAACAAGGGTAACAATGAACTGTACAATCTGGAAAGGAAAACAGAATGTTGTCTCAGACTACAATCCTAAATAAATGGTACTCCGCAGCTAGCAAAAAAGGGCTATCATCAAGTGTTTTTATGGCCACCTGGACTCCATCTTTCCTTGTTTTCTGACTAGCTGGAAGGTTGTGCGCCTCCCCCCCACACCCCTCCATGGTAGCATCAGCATTCAGAGGGTGGTGAAGCATGGCTGCAAAAACACAGATTTTAGTCTTAGCATACAACAGCATATCTGCAATAAATTATTCAATACAGCTTGAGCTGGAAAAATGGGATTCTACTTTAGACAATCCTGCAGTAGCTATGTGCAGCCTACCACCAATGGTCAAAAAAAGGAGCAGCAGAATCACTTACTGGGCATGCATGACCCAGAACAATACAAAAGTGGAGAACAGCCCCACCTATTACCACCAATATATTTTTAAAAATCCAGATCTGCACCTGCAGTTTTTCCAATAAAATGAAAATCCTCATAGAAGTGAAAGAAAAAAATCATGCCAGCATGCTTTTTTCACATTCAGAAACAAATCCCACTGAGTTCAATGGGACTAACTCCTAAATTCCTTTGCTTAGAAATACTCTGAGGCCAGTAGTAAATTGATAAAATTAATCTCTCTCTATAGTTAAAGCTCACCAGCACTGGTGACACCAAATAGGGTATGAATTTAAAGAGAACTTGGAATGTCTTTATACAATATTCAATATTAAAGGGAATTAGGTGACCTTTTTGCCAAGAGAATGACTTATAGGGGGCATCTTAAGGTAAACTTACAATATACCCCACAGACATCGACAACTATAATTTTAATTATAATTTTTCCAAAGAACTAATCATAGAATCATAGAATCAAAGAGTTGGAAGAGACTTCATGGGCCATCCAGTCCAACCCCCTGCCAAGAAGCAGGAATATTGCATTCAAATCACCCCTGACAGATGGCCATCCAGCCTCTGTTTAAAAGCTTCCAAAGAAGGAGCCTCACCACACTCCAGGGCAGAGAGTTCCACTGCTGAACGGCTCTCACAGTCAGGAAGTTCTTCCTCATGTTCAGATGGAATCTCCTCTCTTGTAGTTTGAAGCCATTGTTCCGCGTCCTAGTCTCCAAGGAAGCAGAAAACAAGCTTGCTCCCTCCTCCCTGTGGCTTCCTCTCACATATTTATACATGGCTATCATATCTCCTCTCAGCCTTCTCTTCTTCAGGCTAAACATGCCCAGTTCCCTAAGCCGCTTATAACGACTTAGAGGCTTATCAAGGCAGGGGGGTCAAAGAATCCCACCACTGTCCCTCCTTCAATAAGGAATTCACACCACTTGGACTCTTATAGTGTTTGAGGGGATGTCTCGTTATGTAAAACCTTCGCTGCCACCATAAACTAAAGAAACACGAACCCTCTAGCTATTTAGACTGCTAAAAGGCTGTTTAAATTATTAAAAGGCTTTTTACTCCACCAAATACTGTGTATTATCAAGGGCTTTCTTTGAGGGGAAAACAGGAGAGGTTGATTCAACAAGGAAAATGACTCCAACCAAAAATGGCACTTGACTCAGGCTTCAATTTTAAAAATAACAAGAAAGAGTTTATTGAATATAAGTTACAGAATTAAAAGTAAATGCAGGTTCAGAGGCTTGGCTGTTACAATAAAAATGTTCTTGGTTCTTAGAAGCGTAATGGTTACTTGAGAGAATGGTTCTTTCCTTTGTTACAATTTCTTAAACACAAAACCCAGCTATTTTCTTTTCTAAAAATAGCTGTAACCCAGTCTGCCACAGCCCACTTTGCTGTGCAAACTACAGGCAAGCTGCCTATTCTTAACAGAGACTCCTAAAACTCCCAAAACCTGCTCTAACCTCACTCAGAACTGAACTCAACTCTACTCAGAACTGAACAGAACTCAACTGAACTGTCAAAATTATCTGCTCTCTTTCCCTCCATCTGGCTAACTCCGCCCCTCTTTTCCAAACCAATCCTGGCTGTTGCTGGGCTGGCTCAGGCCTCGGCCACTCCCCCTCTCTGAACTGGAGCTTTTCCCTAAACTAAGATGGCTCCAGCAGCTCTCTGCCAGGCCTTCTAAGCTGAAACTACCTAGCCTGTCTCTTCCTGGGCC